AGAATATCGGTCTTCCATTCCAGGAACGTCCGGTCCATACCATCAACCCGCGCCTTGGCGACTGTGGTGAAGATGATGTCCTAGACCGTGGCGACGTTGTCGGAGCTGCTCGATGTTGGGTCCAGATCGAGAGTACTGGTCTCCAGGTAGCTATCCATGGGTGACTCCATACTAGAAGTTTCGCAGCTGTTTGGAGGTGACATGAATTCCAAAGGTCTTCTCCAGTCAGGCTGAGATGACTTCATATTTTGGTGTACATGAAGGTGATGGGCGAGAGCCAGCTCCTGCTTATCGAGGAACATCTTGGGTATCTTCCGCCCTGGTACTCGTATCCACGTCCTGTCTGGGCTGTGCGAAAACTTTGCTGATATGTGACTCGGCCGAAGTGTCTTTTTTTGCCCCTCCCTGTATACAGTTTGTCTTCCCCCCCCCTGTATTACACTTATCTCCAAACACGGTCAATTCCATGTGCGAGGTAAATGTGCCATACTAGTCAAAAGCCTTCCAGGTGTTAGTATCAGTCAGACAATATCTTCACTTCTGTCGTTTTACTTATGAAACACCTTCTGGTTGAACGACTGTTTATAAAAATGTAGGCAGCCGTATTCAAAGGGCCTGGAACTGGCAGCGTTGCCAGCGACACTAGGGTCCAAACGACTCTTTCATGAACTGATTAGCGCAATTTTCAGCATTATCAACACTATCAAAGTTTTATTAGGATGCAGGTACGCATCGATATGAAACGTAAAATTATTAGTTGGCACGAAAACGGAAACTGAATATTAGTTGATGAAGTCTAGTTCATTCTAGTTCATTCATGCTTGCTCACAAATGCACTTCCCACCACGGAAACTGATCAGCATACTCGCCATTTTCCGGATGTCTTTGAGCATTGATCTGCAGTAAACAGTTCACTGTAAGTAAGTGAGTGTACGATTTCCCCTGCTACCTGATAGTATCGAACGAGATGGTCGAGAGAGGCGTGTGCTTGAGCTTTTGGATCACCGTAGTCAACGTAATAATACGAAGATGTTCCAACTTTACGACGTCTAATGGGGTAATGCCTGGAAGAATAAATACAAAATTCTAAAGTACGACGGGGCAAGGGCTATAAAAGACACTGCGCTCATGGCACGTACTATACACAAGAGAATCAGTCGGATTCCGTCAAGCCGATTTAGATGACCCTTCAGTGAATCGAAGTAGTACTGATGGGACACCGGATCCTAAGGGTGCTACATGGACTTCCCTTTTACATGTAGCACCCTAGGACATACACTAGGACGCTTTTTTTCTCTAAGATGGTCACAAAAATTACTCCGTTCTTTACTCGGATACCTAAGCATTTCTCTAGATGGTCCAAAAGTTACGCCGTTCTTTACTCGAGCCCTCAAGCAAACCGCCAATCAGATCTGCCTCAAGACCCACAGCTGCCACCGATCTCGCCATGCATTCTCGCAGCGTCTCTTACCAGCCTTCATCATTTCCGGCAAAAAAACTTTTTTTCACCCATCCTACTTCTTGACGCGCCCCGCTCGCTCTTTCACGGTCCTAAGTATCCTGTGAAATGTGAACTTTAATTGTGAGCGCGCCTTAGAACAAAGTGTCCTTCTACTCCTGCAAAGCTTTCGTACCTGAAAGACCCGTTGGCTGTCCGGTAGACGACAATAAGTGGCAATTCTTGTTCTAGATCATCCAGAAGAGGTCGATGAGCCAGCTGAAGTTTACCATAATGTAAAACAATTCCTCTTTCACCTTGTATAGTTATATTTACAGTTTTTACTGCTGAAGTCGGTCGGGGCGTGCCAGCGGGCATGGATCTTGGCGCGACGCTAGCATGTTTTCCATCGCTCGTTGCGGCTTTGGGCATTCAGTGGTGGTGTAAAGGCGGCTGATGCTGCGCCGCTTGACACGCTACGTATTGACTTTGTCGTGGGAGTGTTAGTATACAGGGCAACATCATTGGTTGGGGATTCGTCGAGTCCTACACCCCCCTCGCCCTCCCCTCCCCCGAAAAAGGAAACTTCTGCTGTCAACGCGCGGGGATATATGCACGCCATGAAACAGGAAAGTCACGATATGAGCAACCAGGACTCACACTTCTAGAATGGCAAAAAGTAAGTCCCTCCACAAACAATGACCAAGTACGCCCCCCCCCCTTTACAACGTCCGTGATGCGAGAAAATCAACTATCATGATTTTTTTCCAACCCAAGTACGACCCCCCTCTCTCCTAGGCGACCAAATAGGACCCTCTCTCCCCTGTCGGGAATTGCCCAACAACGATGTGCTCTGTTCGTGAAACCTGACCTGATGGTAAACGCGGAAATCCGACCGCTTCGTGACCTGCTCCTCTGCTTTTGCGAAATTACACACACCGATGTACACACTCCTGAATATTTCCCTTCCTCACGTTCAAGTGAAATCAGTTCAAAATACGAAAGTCCAAGTCTATGCATCACGTGGAAGGCACAGGCCATAACAGAGGGTGAAGACCCTCAATCCTTATGCCCTTCGTATTTGTACCTCATACAGTAGCAAAAAGAGACTCCCCAGTGAGGAATTCGCAATGATTGCGAGTTCTCGCCCTTGAGCTGCTGCGAACTGTATGAGGTAAGAATCATAACTATCTAGCAATCCATTGCAAAGATGTGGCGGGTTTTCAGCACGGTCAGAATCTGACTATTGAATCACTTTTTTTATCTTTTTTCGGTTCCCGACCAACCTGTGATTTCGATTCACTGCATGATATTCGGAGCGATGAAGTTGGAAATCAATCTTGCTAAAATTCACTCGAGCATATTCAGTTGCAGAATATGCCAACCTCAAACATTCTAGACTCATGTTCTTGCTTTTCACGTTTCTCCTTCTTCTCTTTTCTTCTTTTTTCACTGCGTTTCTTCTTCTTATGCTTCTTTGCTCCACTTTCTTCAAGGTCATCTAAATAGACGTTTGCTCGCGGATGAAGAGAATTCCGACTCATCCCTGTCAACGGGGTTTTTTCTTATTTGTTCTAATTTAGTCTTCTGACAGTATACGAAATTTGCCTGTTGGTAAACGAAACAGCTACAGTGGCCGCGGCGAGGGGTTTGGACGCACTTAATTCCGGATCTGATGGCGTCAAACACGTGAGTTGTAAAGTATATAGAGGTTATCGTAACTAGGAGGTGCAAGCTAGTCACTGAGCGCGTCTTTCGACCACGGAAGAGCGGGTCATGAGATAACGCCTGCACAGTATGAACAACCACTACAAGATCAGCTGGACAACAGTAGATCCCAGCGGAAGCGAACTAACTGGGCATTGGGGATTCTTCTGCTGAATGCTGCCTGCTTCAACTTTACCTGAGACGATGCTCTTCTTAGCCGACTTGTCGTTTACCGGTTGAGCAACGTTCCTAGAAGTATTGGCGTCGAGCGGGAGAGACGGGTGGAAAGAAGGATACGACCCCTCAGAACCAGCTGAGGTAGTTTGTACCGCCCGCCCACCATAGCTTAGGGGTATTGGAGGCACGATGAAACGGGGAAATCAAAATACAAGATGTTTTCCTGCTCTATACCCCCTTCCATTGCTTCAGCGCTCGAAATACGACTAGTTCATCTTGGGGATCATCCGAGTAAAAGGCCTGACTACACGGGGGGTGGAGATGACAATAAGTATAACAAAGACACCTCGCTTGTGGAGTGCACCGACTTTATGAACACATAATGACGAAGCGAGGTGGCTAACGTGGACACTGACTTTGGACTCTGAGCTCAATATTTTCACCTTCAGAATTCTCCTTTTCCGCCCTCCTCCCTACTTATTGGGCACGGTTGGGTCGTCGCTCTTAACGACAGGGATAGATTAGGATAGAGGTCAGGCCTCTGACAGTAGTCGAGTACAAGCATCGAACAATATAGCAATACATCAGTAACTCACTTTCTTCGTGATTTCTTCGATGAACTATCGGTAGAAAATGTTCTAAACATGCACTTCATAGGCAATATTTACCACCAGTCCGTAATCTAATCATGACTAGGGCGATCGCCACCGCAGATGTGGAAATGATCCAGGTCACGACCAAGTTATATAGTTTGGAGAAAATGACAAACGGTGGTGGCAGTGGTTTTACTGGAAGACGGTCAAGACAATCGTAACTTGCCGCCCCGTTGTGCCGCGCACGACATTCAGTGCCACAAAGGGCACTTTGGGTGGCTGCTTTACAGTAACGAGAAAGTGAACGCCTCTAGTTTACGCTCCCGCACCCCCACGCCATCTCAACATGGCATTGGTGTTGCGTGTGGGCTCTATCTCCCGAGCCAACTCGTACTGCATTGCCGCGACTGGAGAGTGGCGCAGCAAATCCTCCCTCCCTCCCTCCCTCCTCCCCAATCCCAATAGCCAGCATTGGTTGCGTAGATCGGTTGCGAAGGAGTTGATGAAATGCAGAGAAAGGCCTCCTCTCGGAAAGAACGTCAAAATGTATCGAACCATGTAAAGCAGTTCAAATAGTACCTGGACGAAGGCGCTTTGTAACGCTGGGACTCCTCCTTCTCCATGACTTTTTTCCTAAACGTATCTTTGAAAAAGCTGGTGAAAGGTACTAGACGAAGCTGATCGCACGAAAGCTTGATCACGTATCATTGTCAAAGGCAAGTGGCACGGTAGCTTAACAAGGGGTACAGGAGGACCGATGCGCCCTGCACGAAGGGATATTGTGCCTCTTAGCAGGCCGTGTATGGCGCTTTTTCTGAATAGGGCACCCTTATAGCGCCTAACCAAGGCGCAACATGCCCACCTAGC